CTTGTCAGATGTTTTGCTACACACTATAGTGAGTGCCAGTGATCAGAGCAGTCATGCACTCAGCTTCTAATGGAAAGGCTGCAGGTTCAAGTCCACCCAGAGAAGACTGGGAAGAAAGGCCAGGTGATCTACTTCTGAAAAATCCATCACTAAAAACCCTATGGTACACTGTGTTATTCAGACACCTATGGGGCCATGATAAGTCAGAATCCACTTGATGACAACCAACTTTTCTCTCCATCACCCCACCGGGGAACTGTTTTTTAATATTTCTATTAATATAGCCACTCGATCCGTGGTATGCATCAGGCACAGTGATACGTATTTATGGAGACTATATCATTTAATTCTAAGAACTACCCTCTGAGATAAATAATATTATTTCCCCCCATTTCAGAAACGAGGAGCCCTGGTGGTCCAGTGGTTAAGTACTGGTCTGCTAACTGAAAGGTCAGCAGTTCAAATTCACCAGCTGCTCCATGGGAGAAAAAAGTGGCAGTCTGCGTCTGTAAAGATTTATAGTCTTAGAAGCTATGAGGGAGTTCTGTTTTGTCTGATAGGGTCCCTGTGAGTAAGAATCCACTCAAAGGCAGTGATTTTTATTCCACAGACAGGACAACTGAAGCCCAGAGAAATGTTGAATCACACCCTGCTTTCAAGCAGCAAAGGTCCAGCAAAGGCAGGCGAGCCCTGGGTCTGCAATTACACATGGACAGAGCGCTTTGGAAAGGAGCACAGAGGGTGATGAGAGTGTCTAGCAAGAGGACTTAGCTCAGGGCCAGGAATCCTTCCCTGGAGAAACCAGGCTGAAACTGGAATCTGAAACATCAGAATAAACCAGCATGAGAGAAAGGCAGAAAAGGAGACATCAATGGACTGGCCAATCCAGAGGACTCACAAGAGGCCAGATGCTGCGAATGGAAAAGAGGAGGGCATTCCTGAGACAGAGAACCAGCCTCTGCACCTGTGCTGCACACACCCGCTCGCTGGCTCGCTCGAGCACGCACACACACACACACACACACACACACACACACACACAGAAACCCTCTTACACCTGGCTTGGGGGCTCCGAGTTAGACTTACCCTAACCAGCAAACATAGTTCATATTTTCCATTCACATTTAACCCCAAGATGCTGCGGCGATCCACTTGGAATCCAATTCCTTACAGAATCCTACTTTAAACAATCATTCACAGGTCCATCATATTTTAGGAACTTAACTACCAGTTATTGGTAAAATGTAGTGCCAATTGCTATGGCAGACTGCAATTGACCGAAAATGTAGAACTCCTGGAATTCCCTGGAAACCACCCCACACCACCAAACCAGAGAGGTTTTGTCCCTAAGAGTGACAATAACTATCATCCATTGGTGGCAAGTCCTGCCCATAAAGTGGGCCTTCCTCTGGGTAGAGCTCATGGATGCTTTGACTTTGCAACCACCTGAAAAGCAACTCTCAGGGGCTCTTCTTGCTCTCTCTCCCTTTTATTCCTTTGCCTGCAACAAAACACAAGCCTCCCCGGCCCTTGCCTGCCGATCTCAATGCTCTATGTCTCCTTTGCACGTGCCCTAAAGATACAGCTTTTGTGACATAAACGCAAGGTTTTATTGTGCCGTTAGCCTTGATAGAAAGCTTGGCAGACAGTTGTTTAGAAATTAAATATCTAAAACAAGCTATTTTAAAATCCAGGGCCCTCACTATTTCATGTCTGCAATGAAGAAATTTCATCTTGGGGAGAGCAAGCTGTCTTTCACACCATATGGCAAATGGTGGTGCATAGCAATTAGCCAGGCTGATTAATGGTGAACAGACTCTAATTTTATGCTTATAATTGAGCCTGCATTTGCACCCCTGGTGCAAATTCAGCACATCCCAACTTCCACTTACAACAGGCAAGAAATCAAGAGAAATAAGATGGTGTAGAAAGTGAGATTTTTTTTTTCCTAAAACCCCCTAAAGAGCATCAGATTTGCAATTTAAAAGACTGTTAGCCACACAATAGATGACAGGTTTGTGTAATAGGGTCATGGCGGCCTCGTAAACAAACAGTACCCCTTACACATATGTACACAGCCAGGAAAACGGCAATCTGTAACATTAGCAGGATGACATTCTGAATATGGCTTTTCCCTCCTAGCCACGCAGTACAAACATCATCATTTGCCTTCAGTGGCTAGAGAAATTTTATTTTTTGCTATTTTTATGCTTCTGAAAAATAGAAAGAACATCAGCAATAAAGAAAACCAGCCAGCATAATAAAGTACTTTAGGCCAATGAATTTTAAAAACCAGAAAAATATAAGCTGCATTAATAGAGGGTAGGCCTGTGTGTGAAAGGCATAATATATCTTTAAGTATTTCAATAACAGAATTATTCTGAGCAAAGTCCAAACAAGTGCAGATATGAGATGCAAATCTGTGATCTATAGGTATTAGTTGGCCTATTGGTTGAAATCCATTTTTCTGTCAATTTTGCTGAAATCACATGCAGTAGAACATGGAAAATTCATCTTACTGGCATGCGAATTGTGGGAAGCTCACATAGTGGTTATGGTCAGTGAGTTAGTTTATTGTGCCAACCTGGCCGATAAACACATGTGGGGTTAATTGAAAGGTGGAGGCATAAATGGCTTGGTGAGCCTCGCCTTTGGAGTTCTTGGGTCTCTTGCTTTGTGATGGTCGCACCAGGGTGCAGCTGCCTTAGCAGTTCCCTGCTTCAGCTTGCAAGGCTGACTTCCTGCAAGACATTCCCAAGGAGAAGCCACATGGACCTACCCCGATGCAGCCCTGGGTGCTGGAGCACCCGTGTGGAGACCCCTGCCAGCGCTGAGATGTTTACACATTCACTGACTTGGCTTTCCTCCTGTAGTCGGCATCATTGCCTCTGTTTTGTGAGATAGAGGAGGTCTTTGTGGACTGGTGTTGGACATATGGGTTAATGGGTGAATATTGGACTCGTGGGCTTGGGCAGCACTGGGTTGGGATGTTTTCTTGATGCACAGTTAACCTTTATCTAAAACCCTTTTACATGAGTTTCTGTGGATTTGTTTCTCTAAAGTACCCAGACTAACACAGTCAGAAAACCAGTAATACAAGGGAGATCATGTTTTAATGCTATTCAGAATGGATTTCACTCATTTAATTCTGAAAGGTACAACTCAGATCTAATTGTAAAATTGTTTTCTCCAGTATAACACTGATTTTTTTTTCTTTTTTCTTTTTGCCTACGAATGTAAGAAATCCATCACCACACATTTTTTGATTCTGTTACTGATTTAAAGCTAGAAAAAATATAACCTATTTTGGGATGATGTGGCAAGTTGACACATGGCATGACTGAAGTGAAAACACATGATGCCTGCCTGTACCAGGGGACTTCTAAAAGGTGGTGGAAGTGTCCCATTATCTTTCATTTCCATTTTCCAACAACGTTTTGAAGCCTCCTTGAATTGTATAATCAGGAGCCCAGGTGGCATAGTGGTTACGTGTTAGACTGCTATCCACAAGGCAAGGTCAGCAGTTCGAAACCACCAGACGCTCCTCAGAGAAAAAGATGAGGCTTTCTACTCGCATAAAGAGGTACAGTCTCAGAAACTCACAGGGGCAGTTCTAACTTATCATGTAGCGTCGCCATGGATCAGAACTGACTCAATGGCAGTGAGTTTCATCTGTTTGTTTGTTAGCATTGTATTTTTTGAGCATATGTTAAAATAATTCTTTATATGCCAACCTATTTATCAATAGGCAAGTCGTGTTTGGGATTGCACAAAAGCAGTACATTCAGCCTTTCCTACCTTATTTCCATCTGTAGAGCTTTCGAATTACACTCCCATAGGCCTATAGCAGCAAATGGAGCCCATCCAGACGGTGCTAAAGCTCTAAAGGAATTGGCCCATAATCATCTGGAGCCAAACTTACATTGTGTCAGGAAGAGGCTGAATAGCTAACACACATCATGCATCATGACATCTTCATGCGTTCTCCAGCTACTCAGAATATATTTGTGGCAAGGTGCTGGTACTATTTCATGAAGAACTCTACACTGAACATGAGAAGGCAGTACTCCGGTCTACTCTCTCATACATGGAAGCCAGGGAAATAGATTCGCTTGGCTTGCCTGATGTCAAACAGACCTTTAGTCTGATTACTGGCCAAAAATAAGGACACTTGTTTGTGGGTGACGACTTTTTGTAGCTTCCAGGGACTGGACTCCTCTTTGCCATCCTCCCAAAAAAGCTCACTCCCTCTGGGAAATACAGGGTAGTTAAGAGATTTGATTAAAAGCAAACACACACACACACCAGATTTTAAAGGGGAATAATGCCTAAATCCAGATGGTCATCATATTTTCAGCATAAGATTTAAACAGGGAGAATTAAAATGGGGAACTATAACTTCCAAAGGTGCCCTGGTGGCATAGTGGTTAAGCACTTTGCTGCTAACTAAAAGGTTGGCAGTTCAAAGCCACCAGCTGCTCCACGGGAGAAAGATGTGGCAGTCTGCTTCTTTCCTGATTTACAGTGACATAAACCTATATGGAAGCTCTGCTCATCCTACAGGGTCACTATCAACTCCACAGCAGTGGCTTCTATCACTTTCAAGTCTTACTCAAAGGGAGGGGGTTGCCGACACCAATCGAACTCTTAATCATTTTACTAGCAATGCAGTTGAGCCCATATATTAACACTAAAAGGGTTATATTGTGTTTTATTTCCATTGGAAGGGAGCAGGGAAGGGCTCTACTTTGTGCCCATTAACAGTGTGCTATCAAAATGGAAATGTATGTTTTTCAGGATGAAATCGAATAAATAATTGAGAGGCACCATGACGCCTGGCACTTTATGACCAAGGACTCGCATCTTAACAGTTTCTTTCAGATTGTCTAATAGAAGCAAGATAAATGTTTACGCCACAATCAGCCTGAGTTCACCTAGATTCAAGGTGCAAATTCATCTTCTCTCTGCTAATGAAAGGGAGCGAGCGCAGCCTTCCTTACCTGCACATGATCTCGTGTGTGAGCAAGACTCGGCACATTTCGGGGTTCTTGTCTTGGCCTTCATACACTATGGCCTGTAAACAAAGACATGATTTCAATTAAGGATGGCGCCAAGTAGCAGAAAACAAACTATCACAATTGAGTTCTAAGCACTTCACCCCGCAATCGGCAAATTAGCTTTCAGGAGCCCAAGGCCTCACTGGGCTGACTGTTAGGTTCCTTGTGAAGGATCAGCCCACAGTGAGTGGAGTGGGATTTGTTTGTCTCTGCGCTGTCAACCCTCGGCTCTTGAGGTGCATCTCTGGATCCCTGTGTGGGAGGGGCTTCTGTCGTCAAGACAACCACAACGCGCCTTTCAATCCAGAAGAAAAGCAAATCTAACAAATTAAGAGGAAAGCACGCAGAAGGCTAAGCAGATTGAGACATTATTTATTTAAAATAGAGGAAAAAAGCACATGGATTTGATTCAAATGTCAGTGTATGTGAGGACAAGTGTGTACATACACAAATGTTTGAATTTTTCTCACTTTCCTACTTCCAGTCCCAACATCTAATGTTCTCCTGGCAAACACTAGAGGGTGTGTGTGTGTGTGTGTGTGTGTTGGGAGCGGGGTGGGGTGGGGTGGGGTTGTAGGCAAGAGAGTCCTTCAAAAACTGTATCTTCTCTGTGATGAGTCATGAATCAGGAAGAAAATCTCTCTCCCTGCCAACAGGCTAAACACTTGTACACTCCCAGGGTGTACACCCACTCAAGTGGTCATTCCCACAGACATATGTTGGCTGCGGGATAGGCCTCCAGTCTTAGGGGAATTGCATCGAACTCCCAAAACTGGCAGTCCCAAACCAACTCTCCATGCAAGATGTTTCTGCCAGCTCTTTGTAATATGCGTACGAATGTGTTGTGTATGGTCACCAGACAGGTTCTCTGGGAGTTCAGGGTTAATAACCAAGAGAAAAAGCACACAGCTAGCGGGAGGGCAGCACTCTGCATGGGACTGCATTTTAACTAATTTGACACCACATCACTGCATAATACTAATATAACACAGCTTCAAATTGTTAATAAAATTACTTTCACACATTCAGATAACCCTCCATTTCTTGGTGCCAAAATGACTTAAATTAAGAGGCCATCTTATTTAGTACATACAGATGAGACGCTGCTGTGGCTGACTTGTGGTTGGCACTAATGTGCTTTGTGTATGAACCTGGACTCTCAGGACCGAGGAGTGACTGGAGCGGCCTAGGGCCCGGCACGTGCAGGCCCACGGAGCAGGGGCTGGTTGTGACGCATCACCACGTGACAAAACAAACTTAGCAACGAGGGTTTAAAACTGGGGGAAACTATTGCATGAGGAGAAATGCACTCTCGACCACGAACCTATCAAGCCCATGTTCTTTGGCTAACCCATCATAGCCTTGCTTTTTTTTTTAGTTTAACATCATTTTATTCTTACAGAAAAAAATTGAAAGCTATGAAAAGAATTCCCTTTACTCAGATTCCCCAAAAGTTTACATTCGACTACATTTGCTTGATTATTTTTTTCTCTTTTCTTTTTCCCCTAAATCACTTGCTAGTCAGTTGCAGGCATAGTTCGACATGTTTCCTTCTAACAAGACATTCTCTTCCAGAAGCAGCATACATTTATCAAAGTCAGAAAACTAACATTGATAATAATAATCTAATCTACTGATCTTATTGGGATTTCGCCATTTACCCAATAATGCTCTTAACAGGGAAAGAAAAGCCAATCCCAATTTTTACATTCATTGTCACCTCTCTCTTAATCAGGGAGAGTTCCTAAGTCTTTGTGCTTCAATTATATTGACATTGATGAAGAATAGAGATCAGTTATTTTATAGAATTTCCCTCCATCTGGGTTTGGCTGGGGCTTCCTCATGCTGAAACTTAGGCACTCGGGGACAAGAGAGAGGGAGAAGTGAGGGTAACTCCTTTCATTCACCAAATCCTCCTGTCAACTCGCTCCACCACTGGCCGCCCCTGCATAAAGTAGCGTCTGCTGTCGATCAGGGCCGCCAGAAAGGTTTCTTCACGACAAAGCCATCACTTCGCCCTGTCTAATTCATAACTTTCTTCTGAGGAGATCATCTAAGATATGTTCATAAAGCATCCTCCTCAAATTTCCATCCACTAGTTCAAGCAAACATGTATGATGCTTTTCTATAGTCTAAGAAGACCTTCTCCACTACCTACGAAGTCACTTTACTCCAGAAAAGGCATTAAGTAAGTTGCAATTGTTTCTTTTGTTCTTTTTTAACAAAACCAAAATGATATCTGCCTACTTTGTTTATTACCATCACTGTAGCAATGTCAGAGAAACACATACATAAATTGATTAGATCTAATACTGGGCACCAAAACACTCTAATGATGCATTTGTGATAAATCCGATAACCACTCCATTTTTGTGTGGTTTTTAATATCGTTGATAACCTCTGATTTATGTATTGATGGGTCATGCTACACTCAGAATGCAAGTAACCTGGGAACTGAAGTCACCAATATGAATGAGACTGTCTGCACTGGAAGAAGAAAAACTATTTGGAGGAGGCGTGGCGTCACGTGTGGCACTTTCGCCAGAACTTCTCGCTTGGCTGCTCTCTAGATGACACTGGTATGCGTTTCACTGGGGCCACTGGTTCCACTGAAATCTGTGGGCCCAGGAGGCTTTCCAGTTAAAGTCAGGCTGCAATGCAAATATGCTCATGACGCCTCCAAAGCAGTGGGCGATCCTTGGATTCCCAGAAATCCTCTCTTGATGACTTTGTCTCAGGAACCTCCTGAGCATCGCTTGTTAAAGGCGCAGAGCCTCCATAATGCATCTCCTTACCAAATACCAAACTGCCACTTCGCTGTGGGCAGCAGAGTCAAAACAGAGAATCCTTCTCTAAATCAAGCACAGAAAAATGAAACCAGGAGTTTGGAATTGCTCAGAAACAGTTAGGCTCTCTGGAGGAGGGTGGGCACAAGGAGCCTCTGCTCTCCCTCTCCTGGGGGCCTGCAGAGGAATATTTTTCAGCACATCAAGGCCAAGAGGGAAGCGTTGCTTCTTGGGGCTTCTGAAATATAAGCAAGTAGAACAGGAGTCTTTTCATTTTGCCATGGCTTAGGACTCCAAATCCTGTAAATAGAGTAAACTAGAACTTCAGGTTAATGGGTTAGCTTGGGAGGGTAATTCACTCAAACGTAGATCCACCTTCAACCCCGGCTAAGCCGCTTTTGTTACTAAAAATATTTGTGTAGGGGGTAATAAAAAAATTTTAAAAAAACATTACACAGATATGAGCCCCCAAATCAATATTCTGGTGAGACTCCAGTGTAGGAAGTGATATATTTCATTTGACAAACGCCTCTGATACAGGCTGTCCGCAATAAGGCTTTTTGTTTTTAAATGCCACCAAGTTCTCCATCCAGTCTGCACACACTCCTGGGAAGCACAGATCAACTCTCAGGTCATCGACCCTGAGCACAAATGTAAAGGATGCTCCACCGTTGAGCAAACTACAGTGGTGAGCCCAACAGGCAAGGGACCCTCAAACAGCAACTTAGGGAGAAATTGCTGCTTTTTTTTTTTTTTTTGCTAATTTAAATATGTGTCTCTGTGGGGTCTGAGTAAAGCTGGGAGATCACAGAAGCATGTAAACAGCATTGACTATTTTAAGTGAAACCATTTTAATAGACAGCTGGTTTAGGGCCCAGACAATGGCACACCAAGAAGAAGGCTTATTTTCATCTTCCACAGTAAATCATGCGCCTGCTCACTGAGAGAGAGGTAGTCTGCTGTGAGAGCGACAAAGACAACAGAGGTTTAAATAAATCAATGTGTTTATCAGGGGTAATGGTGGGAGGCCTGCTACAGAGGGGGCATATAAAATATGATTTCAATAAATCAATTGATGGTGAGTCAGGTTGAGGTTTGTAACCAAAGTAACAAACAAACAACAACAAAAATATGCTCTCAGGAAGAAAACGCTCCTGAAATTAAGCCTGCCTCTGGTGAATAAGTCCCTCCAGGCAGCAAGAAAAGCTTGCACAGGAAGGAAAGTACACCGTACTAACTTCATCTCAACTTTACAAGGAAAAAAGAAGGAGCAAAATTGGTAAACAAGTTGTCAAAACTGGACCCAGTTGTATCTGATCTGCTATTTTTCTCACATACTAGCCTCCCTCGTCTCACTGCGTCCCTCTAATTAACAGACAAAAACAACCCTGCTTTATTTCTTAATACTGTTCTAACTTTTGGGTTGGGAGGTTTTTTCCCCTAGAATAACGTATATATGTATTGTTTTTAAAAGAAGGAATTAAGAACGGCTAAACTTTCACAGCTTTAGGTAACAACAGTGCTAGGAATTTTCACTGCCTGCGACTGCAAATGCTCAAGTAATAGATTAACTCATAACATCTCTGAAAAGAAACCAGTCCGTCAAGACACGCAAAACTGCCTGGATGCCCACTGCGTTAGAGAGCAACTTGTGAAGGATCCTTCTTCCTGCCTTTCTGCCCTATCACTGCGTCTTAAAGAGCTCAGGGAAATGCACTATGGTTAGAGACCACACAGTGAAAAACTCATGGTGAACATACCCCCAGGATCACACTTCAATAGGAGGCCAAAGGACAGACAGAAAAGTGAGCTTTGCTTACTCCCCTGATAGGCTTAACTCTTTGTGCACCACACTAAACTAAAAGGCATTGAGGAGAATCCCTTTGACTTTGGTTCAACCAGATCTGAAGGGAAAAAATGTTTCCATTAAAAGTCTTTCTTGGTTTACGACCAAACAATAGCACACTTGTCATCACCAGTTAAAAAAAGAACGAAGGAGAGAAAGAGAAAAAAGCCTATGATAACAACAAACCGCTCCCAATTTTCCAGTTCAATGCAAAAAAAATTAACCTTTGAAATACACTACCCATTTTTCAACAAACAAAATGTGTCCCCTTAGAGAAGAATTGGTTCATGAAGATACTAAGCACCTCCTTCAGTCAGAAATAGTCTTCTAAATACAGCGTGCCAGTGTGCCTCGCACAGGAAGTTACCAAGAATCGAAGCCAATC